GAGTCACTCCCAGAAGCATAAGGGCCGCGGTCCCAAGCTGATAGAAGATCTCGGCACTACAATAAGTCCTGGTTGCCTCTTCGACCTAGGTTGTTTATGACCCGGTCGCCTATTCGACACGGGCACATTAAAACCCAGTTGCTTTGGCATGGGTAAGACAAAGTAGCCCAGGTGTAGATAGGTCGGACATGTATACCCTATAGTGTCTGCTCGCCCCAACATACAATAATGATTGTTCCTATTCAAGTTCGGGAGTAGTCTCAAGTTCGGGAGTGATCTATACTTAGAAAATTTTCACTCCTATACGGTTCAACTCACAAGCTCGGGAGAAATCTACACTTAGGAAAATTTTACACACAAGGAGTTTTGCAAAGTACTTGTATTTTATTGATAAAATGCCTTGAGTACAAAAAGAAAAAAAGCTTACAACTATTTAGTCGAGCTCAGAGGCTCAGAAAATCAAGTATTTACAAAGGGGGTCCAAGTAAAGAGGCATCAGTCAGTTTGGGGCTCCTCATCCTTAACGAAGACTTCAGTAGGCGGATCTGTCTCCATACGGTCCTCAATGGCATCAGCCTCCTCTCCCTCGATATCGAGTAGGTCATCGTCGCTCTCCGCCTCAGAGTTCGGATCCTTGGTGGCTTCAACGGCCATCTCCTTGGTGATCTTGGACGTGGTGATGGCACTGAGGTCGAGGTGGGGAAATTCACACCGGGTCAACCACCTATTGAGCTTAAACCCCTTGCGGTAGCCCACTGTCCCAGCCTCAACCAATCTTTCTCGAAGCTCCGCCAAAGACTTATACTCCTCAACCGCCTTGACCTTGGCCTCCTCCATTGTTTGATGCAGGATTTCAGTCTGCTCCTTCACATGAGCCTCGAGGTTCTCGATCTCCCTCTTCAGTGCCGCCTCGCACTCCTCGAGCTCTTTCTTCTTTGTCATCAGTAGAGTTAGCATCTCCTTCTTAGCTCGTACATCATTTTTCAGTAGGTTGATCTCATTGCGAGCTAAGCTGAGCTCGGAGTGGGCACTTCCAGAAGACTCCTTGGCTTCTAGAGCTCGCTTTAACTTCACCTCGGACTGGTAGGACAAGGTGTGGATAGAGGAGTTCACCTGGTAAAAGAAGAATACAAGTATTAGTATGGAGAAAAATCTAAGGCAACTCGAATGCCAAGTTTAAATACATACCACCGTACAATGCGTGGCCCCTCGGGCCCCAAGCTGAGCAGCCGACAAGTCAGCCCAACGACCGACCTCCTTGGCAAACACTGTGTCCTTGCTCTTGAGAAGGCCAAACTTCGGAGTCAAAATGCTCCAGACTGAAGTATCGCTGCCCAAAGAGGTGGCGGTCGTTGGAACGAGCTCTGAAGACGTGGTCTCCTCGGGCACGCGGGGTGGAGTGGCCTTGCCTGGGTCCTTCTTAACCAAGTCGATTACAGGAGGTTGTCCGGCGACGAGTGGGTATTCGGGTGCAGAGGCGGCAACCTCAGTGGTGGTGGTCTCGGTACGGAGGTGAGCCTTCTTGGAGGCCCTTTTCTTCTCCTTTTTCCCCTTTTGCATGCTCCCGAAGAGCTCATCAACAGGGATGTCATCCATGGCAACTGCAATAAGTGACGAGCTAAGTCAGATATAACACTGAAGTAAAATAAACAAGAAAAAGGTACAACAGTTAGCGACCTACCAAGAGGGCTTAGACTGACCTGCACGAGCTTCTCCTCAATCACAAAGTTTTCAAACTTCATGCCGAGCTTCGCCCAAGATCGGACCTCCTCCCTTGTCTTCGGGTCCAGTCGGATGCCGGGATCCTAGATGGCTGCCCTCCAGTGAGTCGGGAAAGGCCACCCCTTGGTGTTACAGACCACAAAGTAGCGTCTCTTCTAGGTCGGGACCTTGTTAGGGAGCTCATGCAACAGCTTGTACTCGGGGCAAGGAGACATATAGTAACTTTGCCTGTGCTCGGGTAGAATGCAAGATGAGTTCTTCTTGATGGAAATGATGGAAGAAAAGATGTCGAGGTCTAGAGGACGTTTGTAATCGTGGAAAAGGGAAATGGTACCTACGATGTTACAGATGGAGTTCAGGTGTAGCTGGTCTATGGCAATGTCAAAGAACTTAACGACTTCGACTATGAAAGGGTGGAGTGGAAGACACAGCCCGGCTACGAGCTACTCCTCGAAGACCACAATCTCGTTGTGGCCATGATCCCAAGGAAAGTTTCCTAAGCGAATACTATATACGAAGTCATTGGGAAGTCTGTATTGAGCTACTAAGGATAGGAGCCTATTCACTGTCATTATTGACAGGCCGAAGCTGTCCGGCAGGCAAGCTCAGTGTGAAATGGAGGCCGATTTCCCAGAAGCTTCTCGCTCTCATCGAGGTGAGTCCACCTCAGACATATTGGGGTCCACATCCTGTGTTGAAGTGCCCACCTCGATAGGATGAGGTTCCGCGATCTGTGCCGAGGAACCTACCTCGTCCCTAGCGGACTCGCCGCTCCCATCTAGAAGATTATCTAAGCTAAGACTAGACATACTAATGGAAAGGACAACGGAATCAAAAGCAAAGGAAGACTGACTCACCAAAAGAAGACCGAAGAAAGCGAGACGACCTCGGACCCAGGAATAGCTGACACCGAGCTAGGATACTTGAGCGCGACCTCAAGGACTTTGGATTCACGATTTTTGTGGCAAAGAAAATGGGTCCTTTGGCCCCTAATTATAACCAATGTATCCGGGAATCAACGGTCAAGATCTACACGATCCAACGGCTCCCGAGGTTGAAATCAGTTTAGCACACATTTTGACGTTCGCACGTACCCAATACGTGATCTGGGTCACTTCTTGGTTGTGCCGAACGGACGAACAAGTCCGACCAACAATCTGCCCACCACATCACCTAGACTTTGTGCCAAATCCACCTAGGCTCGTCATGAACTCCCTACGTCGGGTCAGAACCCCTAGCACAAGGAGTGGGGGCAATTGATGAGGGGTAATTTGGCACGACCTAGTAAGTAAAAGTCACGTGGACACGATCTGCCCGAAGAATGACAACTCAACAAGGGGAGCCTAATCAGCAGTTTTCAGAGTTCGGATGTTCGGCCACCTCAGCATAGAGTCACCATGGTATCGAGTCACCTCGGCATAAAATCACCTTGGCATAAAGGCACCTCGGCGCCTAAGCCAGTTCAAGGCTCAAGAACCAAAGTGACACATAATCAACTCTAGAAGCTTCCCAGCAGACTCCGAATATCACGGGATCATGCCGCGTAATGGCAGGCCTTGTCCACTCCCCACCCGGATCGGGTGACGACAATAAACTTCATTGACTGATACGTTACTCCCCAACTAAAGTGGAAACAAATCTCATCCACTCAGGCCGCAGATCCCAAAACCGTTTCACGAGACCCATGATAGCTCACCTATATAAGGGCATCAACCCCTCCAGGGTCTAGGTATGCGCGATTACTTATAGTTAAGCTCTTTAGCACTCAAACTTTAGCTTGCAACCACTACAAGAATACTGACTTAAGCATCGGAGCGACCTCCCCCGATCATCCACCCCGGTCCCCCTGATCCCTGTTTTGCAATTTGATACAGCTCACACGCAAGTACGTCCAAGCAATCATCCAGCTAGGAGCTTCCAGATCGCACATCGTCAGAAACCATAAATTTATATTTATTAGAAAGAAGCCTCTACCATCGTCAGAAAGAAGCCTCTACCATCTATTAGAGCAACCAAGAGGACTTCAATGTTATATTTAGAAAATTAATCGAATCATAAATCATTCAAATAAATAAGAAAATGATAATTTAAGAATTTAAAAAATTTTAAACAGTTGAATGAGACTCTTTTTTGAAGTTTGTGGCAAAGTGATTAAAATTTATGAGGTCTCTGTGCAAATAAAAATTCAGGGGGTATTTGTCATTGATCCATAGTTGCAGGGGTCTTTATAATTTACCCCTATAAACCGGAGAAGGCACCTTTTTGTACTGAACAAATTATTTGTGTTTCTGTTTAATATAATTTCTATTTTAATTATCAAATAGAAGTAATTCTTATAAACTGGGGCCCGTAGCTCGTTTGAGAGGGTTGAGCTGAAGATTCAACTCAGCTGGTTCAGCTGCTTTGAACCGCTCTGAATAAACTATTTAAAAATGTTGAAGCAGGCAACCTTTCAAATTACTAAAACTAGTTTTAGCAGAAAGTGGATTTCCTAGCTTAAAGAAAAGCATTTGGGTTTTCCATCGAATATAATTTCAAAGCTTTCCAAATAGCGCCGACCTTGCAAAGCGAGAAGCTGCTGTATTGAAAGCCTCTTCCAAACGGGCACCATTTCACCCAAAAAGTAGATGATACCAACGAAAGAGCTTTGACCAATATATTAATTACCACGTTTATGAATTACGATACCTGTTAATTGGTTATAAGTTTTTTCGGTATCAAAACTCGGATATTGGACACTATACTTTTAATGGATTTGAGCTGCATATGTACATTTATATTGGTTATTCACTTATATTCCTTTCTATTAATATTCTTACAACTATTTTATTTGTAAATCATAATTACTACACCTTTAAATCATCCAATTTTTCTTTCTTTCTTTCTTTTAGGGTGGGGCTTTAAAACCATGAAGTTCAAATTCACAACTTTATCAAAGATGTAGGCCCAGTTCGTATTTTGGTAAATTATTTATTTAAGTAAATGCACTTACCCTGTTATTTGTTTCTTAGAAAAGATTTACCCGGATAGATTATTTATCCATATTCTTTTATTTCTCATGTAAATAAGATAATGACCATTTTATTTATAAAAATCCATTATTACAAGGGACATTTTTGTTCCTTTAAAGTATTGCCCAAAGTGGGAAAACATTTTACCCACATCACTTACCCAATAACTGATACCATAATCCCCACATAAATATGAAAAAAGAACATGGAATTTTTTATCAATAAAAATCAAAATTTCATTGATCAACTTTCCCCCTTCTCAAAATCAAGAAAAAGAACGCCCCTTTACGCATAACATCTTATATGGCTATATGAAAATGCTTAGAAAGACCCTGGATGCATTGTGGATATCGATCATGGAAAGTAGCTATTTCATTTGTAGTTGTAAATTGGTTCGGTTTACAATTTTACATCAATGGACACCCTAAAAACTAGATTATTAGAATGCCCCATGGTCATGATCTTAATGTTCTTCTATTTTCCAAAACCCTTTCTTACTCTGTTGCTACATTAATTGTGGGAGAAAGACATTCTTGCTCTGTTTTTGTCACAAGATATATGGAGAAAAATAATTTTAACTATTTTTTAAACCAGTAATAGCCTCCACCAGAAATACAAAATTCTTCTGTAATTCAGAAGGAACTCTCTCATACGTTCATTTTGTCATCTGTGTTCGATCCCCAGTTTGTTAATTCTCTTAAGCAACACCAATAAAAGTAGAAGATAAATATCTAACACTCACAGGAGTGAACGAGGAAGAATAACACTTCAAGAAGAAGAAGAATTAGGCAGAGATTTTAGAGAACTCCCAATCCACAGCTTTCTTTAGAAAGCTGTCCTCCTCCAGTGCCATTTGGACGGGCAAGAACCCCAATCCGTTGGCCATGGCCAGCATCATCTGCTTGGTCTCTGCCTTGAATTCCTCCAAGTCCACCGCTCCGCTCGAGTCATGATCAAACTGGCCGAACAGGGCACGGTAGGCAAAAGCTAGCTCATCAGGGTCGGTCTTCACGTCAACTCCGAAGTGGGTCTCGAAGATCCTCAGACTCTGAAGCTCCTTCTCCATCTCTGCATATGATAGTAGACCATCATGGTTTGTGTCCAGACGAGAAAACCGGTCATGAACCGAGCCTTCGAAGGCCTCTTTGTCCTCCACAAAGTTGACAATGGTGGATCTATCCAACACTTCTACGCTCATCTTTTCTTTTCTATTCTCCACTACTTTCGCCTTGAGACAGGATTTTGCGCCTTTTAACTCTTAGGTCTTTTGAGTTGTAGTGCAGTTGGCTTGGTGGTTATTTATAAGTATGTATAAAGTGTAATATAGACTGGTCATGGAGACATTTTCAAATCGGATAGTCAAGACTCAAGAGCGAGCTTAATAGGTGTAATAAATGAAGCCGCCCATAATATTCACAACCCAATGGGCCTGAGTGTTGTATTTGCCTATTTGGCTTTCTAGTTGATGGTTGTGACTTGGGAGAAACTAATTTGGTATATTCTTCTGCACCGACCGAATCTCCCAGCCCAAAATCCCTGAGAAGTGATGGGTCAAAGATCCTGTCGGCCTTTAAAGGGTACCGGCGGTGTGAGCGCACAAGAAGTAGAAGGCCGTAAGGCCGTTTAAGTTTAGACAGTTGAGTTAACACGCCTTTGCCTCAAAAAACAACGAGACCCACAGCTTTTTTTTTTTTTTTGACAAAAGACAAGACGGTGTTTGGTGTCGTTGTTTATTTAGTAAATTAGTTGGGACCAATGGTTTTAAAACCGGACGGTCAGACTGGAAAAATTGGGAACCGATCATTTGACCAGTTCCATTTAACCCAAAACCATTTTTTGGAAAAAAATTATTGATTTGGTTGGTGAATCGTTGACCCAAGCGGTCGAACCGTTTAACCTGTGAAAAGCTTTTGGTTGTTTTTTGTGTTTTTAAAATTTTACCAGACAATCGGACTGTTCAACCCAAAAACCAGATCCCAAAACAATTCCCCATCCAGTTCGATTTTAAAAACCTTGGTCGAGACCCATGATGCAAATGATTTATTCAGTCTATCAAATTAAAGTATAAAGTAAAAAAGTATAAATGAACAAGGGTCAAGTTGATCCGAACCTCAAATTTATATATCCCACCATGTCCCCACCCATATAAATCTTAACCCATCCTTGCCCCTACGTTGAATGGGGATTTTTTAAATTGCCCTGCCCCCCACCTTTTAGCTTTTGTTCAATTTTTCTTAATATATTATATATTATAATGTATATTATGCCATTCTGATAAATTATTGTTAAACTCGACCAAGTTCTTTATTTAGTAAATTCATCTAGGCCCCCGTTCACTTTTCGGTAAATTATTTACCCGGATAAATGCAATTATCTGGGTAAGTTTTTCTTGGGAAACACTTACCTGGGTAGGTGCATTTACCCATGTTCTTTTATTTCCTAGGTAAATAAGGTAATGACCATTTTAGCCATAAAAATCCATTATTAAAAGGGGCATTTTGTCCCATTCAAGTGTAAGCAATTTTTCCCCCAAGTAGGAAATTTATTTACCCACTTAGGAGAAAATAAACTTTCCCTAGTCCCCACATATATCTGAAAAATGAACATGGGATTCTTGGTCAATGGGAACCAAAATCCCATTGACCAACTTTCCCCCTCCCAAAATCCCAAAAAAAGAACACCCCCTAATGTTTTTGTCTTTCAATTGGGGTGAGTTTAGGGTTAGGGCTGGGGGAGGACAAATACCACCACAACCCCATCCCCAATCACCATAATTTTGGGTTTCTCCAAAACTGATCAATAGTTAAAAACCCTACTCCAACCGGGAGATGGGTGGGTTAGATTGCCATCTCTACCTAGGTCTTAGAGCTCTCTCTCTCTCTCTCTCTCTCTCTCTCATAACAAGCATATGGGAGGATGATACCTTTTGGCTTCTTGGCATTTAAATTATTGGAATGTCAACAATTGGTGGGACTCACTCATAATTGGTTATTTTTCTAATATGGCATGGAAATGTCAATAAGATGAAAAGTAGAGAATCTAACACCAAGTTTCAGGGTTGTCAAATAATGAGTTCGACGCCCACCCCCAAAGAGCCTTTATTATATTATGAATATTTACATTTACAAGTAGGCATATGAGCTTAAAGAATTTACAAGAAAGCCTTTATAGGGTTGATAGAAAAAAAATAAAGTAAGAAAAGATACAATACAACAGAAGCTATAATATTAGAATACATCAATACTCTCCACACTCCTCCTCTAACTAATGCAAAGTCATAAGCATCAATTTGCCCACAAGAAATAGATCTCTTGCCTTTGTCATGGCCTTAGTAAAAATGTCAACAATTTGCACATTTGAGGCCACACAAGGAAAAGAAATAGACACAACAAGAAGCATGTCTCTGATATAGTGACAATCCACTTCAATATGTTTAGTCCTCTATGAAAAATGAAATTCAAGGTAACCTTGATAGCATAGATGTTGTCAACATAAAGCCTAGATCTTCAAAGAGGGATTGCAGCCAAACAATTTCATTATAAATAGATGGCATAGCTTTATACTCTACTTCTGTAGAAGACTTGGAGATTGCTTATTGTTTCTTGCATTTCCAGGAAATAAAGGAATCACCCATGAAGACGTACCACCCTGTAGTAGAGTGTCTAGTGTCGGAACAACATGCCCAATCAACATCAGCATAGGCCCACAACCGAATAGGAGAGGAGGAAAAAAAAAGCTAGGTAATCTGATGAACAATAGTTAAATGGAACTAACAAGGGGTAGAAACAAACTAATTCACAACCTGAACCGCATAGGAGAGGATAGGATAAGCCATAATAAGATAAATGAGAGAACCCACAAGTTACTGATAGAGTGTGGCATTTGGAAGTAATGAACCCTCTGTTTTGGATAACTTGACATTCAATTCCAATGGAGTATCAACTTGCTTGTCATCAGTAAGATCAACCAACTTAATAAGATTATATGCATACTTTTGTTGACAGATGAAATATCCTTAATCACTTCGTTGAACCTCAAGTCCTAGAAAGTAGGTGAGAACACCGAAATCTTTCATATGGAATAAACTATGAAGTAGGGATTTAAGTTCTCTAATTCCCTCATCGCCATCCCTTGTCAACAACATACCATCAACATGCAAAATGAGGATTTTGATGCCTTGAGATCTTCTACAAATGAGTAGTGAATAGTCAGAAGAACTTTGGCTACAACTAGCAGCAACAACAACATCACGAAACTTCTTAAATTAGGCTTGAGGAGCCTATTTCAGATAGAGACTTTTTCAATCTGTAAACAAGAGAATGATCACTATAGTACCCTAGAGGAGGTTTTATGTCCTTTAGCTGACCATGAAGAAACTTCGTGAGATCTTCTACGAATGAATAGTGAATAATCAGAAAAACTTTGGCTATAACCGGCAGCAACAACATCACGAAACTTCTTAATCCAAAGTTGAGGAGCCTGTTTCAAACCATAGAGAGACTTTTTCAATCTGTAAACAAGAGAGGGATCACTATAGTACCCTATAGGAGGTTTCATATACACTGTGCCCTTGAGCTGGCCATAAAGAAAAGCATTTTTCACGTCCAACTAATACCAAGAGTGTACAACTGATAAAGCCAAAAGAAAATGAACTATTAACAATTGGAGCAAATGTCTCTTCATAATCCATATTCTTATGTGTACCCTTGGGCAACAAGGCAAGCCTTATATCGGTCTAAGGTGCCATCAGATTTCAATTTGATGGTGTAGACCTGTTAAATCCTAGTAATATAAGCATTTGAGGGTGCAAACACAAGATCCTAAATGTTATTCTCATATAAGGCATTGATCTCTACATCCATAGCCACTTTCCAATGAGGGTTGCTACTAGCTTGTTAGTAGGTACGAGGAACATTTACAGAGGATAATACTGCAAAAAAGGAACTATGGTTTGAAGGAAACCATAGCGGCTAGGAGGTCTAGAAATGTAAGTAGAAGGACGAAGAGGAACAAAAGCAAGAGGGATATCTAAAACAAGAGGAGTATTACTTATAGGCACAACAATGGGATGATCTAAACCGGCAAGAAAGGGGGTAGAAGGAGTAGGGTCTAGTGCATACAACCACTTGTGATAGAAGACAAGAAGATCCTTCACAACCATCATAGAGGAAGTGTCTTATGAATCAAAGTCATACAAGATAGAAAATGGAGGAGCAAATAATTTAGCAACACCGGTAAAGAAAGAAATACGTTCAAGAAAAACAACATTATGAGAGATAAAGATATGTCGGACAGATGGATCATAGAATAAAAATCTCTTATGCTTAAGACTATAACCCACAAAAGCACACATAGTGGATCAAATAATTTGGAGCACTCACGATAAGGGAGATGCACAAAACATAGACCACTAAACACAAAGAGAAGAAAAATTTGATGGATGACCAAACAACTTCTGAAAAGAAGAAACATTAAAATGAGTAGAAGAAGGAATCTAGTTGATCAAGAAAACAGTTGTATGAGTTACTTCCACCCAAAAGGAAGAGGGAGCATGTGACTCTTATAATAAGGTCCTCATAACACCGAGGGCATTCATTCTTATGCTTAGACACTCCATTTTTCTAGGGAGTATCTGGACAATTTTGTTAAACTTGTATCTCATTAATCTTCAAATAAGATAAGAAGTCTCCATCAATGTATTCTCCCCCTAAATCTGAGTGGAGTATACGTATACAAGACTAAAAATGAATTCATGCCATGGCATGAAATAACCAAAATGTTGGCAAGACTTCAAATTTGTGCCAAAGAAAATAAATCCAAGTGTACCTAGTATAATCATAAAAAAATAGTACAAAGTACTTGTATCCCAACCGAGAAGTAATGGAAGAAGTCCAAACATTTATATGTATAATTTCAAATGGAAAAGTAGTATGCTTAGACTTATGTTAAAAAGGAAAAGTACGACTCTTACTTAAACAACAAGAAACATGTGAAGTATCAAATGTTTGCAAAGATGAAATTTTGTTTCTTATAAAATTAGAATCAAACAAAAACTTTAATTTTTCTAAATGTGAATGACTCAAATGCTTATACCATAAGTCCCATGTTTTTTTGACCAAAAAAAGGAATTAGATGAGGAGCTAAAATAAGTAGAAGACTTAGCTATGAGAGGCTTCTCAAACTATAATACAAACAGTCAGCCCAGCCTATTCACCTTCTCAATGCACTATTCTTAAATCAAGCAACCATCAGAAGAAAAAGTAAGAATATGATTTTCATCAACAAGTTGTCCAACTGAAATA